AATAACACAGATAGAAAACTAAGGTCCAAAGAGGTTGATTTATCCACGGGCCACAAGAAATTAATTCCTTCATTCAAGAAACATGTATATAGTATGTATTATATAGGTGTATTAGTTAGCTATTTCTGTATAACAAATTACCTTAAAATGTAGTGACTTAAAACAACACATTTATTGTCTCACACTTTCTGTAGGTCAGGAAATTTTCAGATGGCTTTTCTGGGTTCTTCTGCTTCAAGGTCTCTCATGAGGCTGCAATCAAGGTATTTGACAGGGCTGGGGTTGCATCTGAAGGCTCCACTGGGGAAGGATCTACTTAAAGCATACATAGTTATTGGCAGGATTCAGTCTTTGCAGAAGTAGAAAGTCTTCGTTTCTTGCTGGCTCTTGGCTGAAGGCCATCCTCGGCTCCTTGCCACATGGCCTATCTAATATGGCATATTGCTTCATCAAAGTATATAAACCGAGAAGGCAACAGAGAGACCAAAGTCATAGTCTCTTGTAACCTAATCACAGAAGTGGCATCCCATCAACTTTGCCACATTCTGTTGGTCAAAAGCAAGTCATTAGTCCAACCCATACTCAGGGGGAGGGGATAATACAAGGGCATGACCACCAGGAGGTGGGGATCATTGAGGGCCATTTTTGAAAGCTGTCTACTACAGTTGGTACATATAATCATGTTTCTTTATTCTTGGATACATCTTTTTCTACTAGAGCAAACCATCTGATGATGTGATTGTAAAACACTAATATGTTCGCTGTGGTAGCTCTCCCCCCACCAAAAAAAAAAAAAAAAAAAAGTCTACATAATCCCTAGAATTTTTTAATATGTTTCCTTACCTGACATAAGGGACTTTGCAGGTATGATTAAGTTAAGGATTTTGAGATGGGGAGATTATCCTGAATTATCCAGGTAGGCCCAATATAATCACACAGGTCCTTATAACAGAGAGGCAGAGGATCAGAGTCAGAAAAGGTGATGTGATGCTGGAAGCAGAGAGAGGGAACGGGATGTGATGGTAAAAGTAGAGGCTGAACTGGTGCAGCCACAAGCCAAGGAAGAGGGCAGCTTCTAGGAGATGGAAAAAGCAAGGAGCAGAGACTCTCTCCTTGAGCCTCCAGGAGGCTGACACCTTGATTTTAGTCCCATAAGATACATTCAGTACTTCTGACCTCCTGAACTATAAGATAATGAATTTATGCTGTTTTAAGCCACTAGGCTTATAGTCATTTGTTCTAGCATCAATAGGAAACTAATATACTCACCAAAGCACCTTGGGGAAATCCACTTGTGGAGCTTTTTAGGGAGCAAAGGGAGGCACAGGTATAAGATGATGGGCTTCCAACAGTTTTTCCTATCCTCTAGTGACTGAAACAATTTACATATTGTAGCTTCTACTTTTAGGAATGTATTTGTAGTTCAATACTAAATTCTATCAACAGAGAACAGGTAAATTTCTTAGAGTTAGTTATATAGGCCTCACTCTTCAAAATAAAAATGTGGCATTTATCAGGGGACACTAAGGCTTCCATTTTTTAAAGCTTGTTACTTGTTATTTATTTGTGCCTTAGGAGTGGAAATATTGGCTGAAATGAAAGTACCTGGCATGAAACGCTTTTCCTTCTGGGTATTTCACAGCTAGATGTTGTGAAATTCTCTTGTTTTTCTTTTTTTCTCCAGTGCCTGGAAACCTCGGCTGCTATAAGGATCATGGAAACCCACCTCCTCTAACTGGCACCAGTAAAACATCTAACAAACTTACCATACAAACCTGCATCAGTTTTTGTCGGAGTCAGAGGTTCAAGGTAATGGCTCTGTAACTGTATATCTATAGGAAAAGATAAAGATGTAAATGCACTCTGCTGAGATAACTTTAAAAAAAGTGTAAAGCCATACAACTCTACTTTTCCGCCAAGGAGAAGTTGAAGGAAGAGTGGGGCTTGAGATTCAGGAGTGTGAGACAGCACTCTTGTCCAAAGACTGAAAGAAAAGAGGAAGAAAATCTCTAATATCTGCATCCCTATTTGACTTCTGACAGTTATGTATTTCCTTGTGCCTTTATATGTTATAAGCAGGGACATCTCTGGCTCCATGGGGGATCTGGGAATAAGTCAACGTAGTCGTTACTTCCTTGATACATTAAGGGACTCAGCCTGGACGCCAGTCCAAAATATTTTCTTTTCTTTCTATCCATTCCTCTAGCTGAAATTCATTCATTGGCTATCGAAGTTCAATAATGCTATTGTTTGTTATATCAAAAAAGAAAAAAGCTAACTTCGTTCTTTCCTTCCTCCCTTCCTCCCTCCTTCCCTTCCTTCCTTAATCATTCAGTCAAAAGGCCATTAATCATGCCCAAGCAAGGAGAATAGCTTGGCAGGGTTCAGGGCCTATGTGAGAAAGGTGAGTGAGCAAGGCAGTTGACCCAACATGATCAAGTGATTGGTTGCTTGCAAAGGATTGAACACCTAAGTAAATATATTGAGGATAACAATATTCAGGAGCCAAGTTTCTCACTGTTGGAGAAGGGAGCCAGGGAAAACTGGAATGAAACTTATAGAGTTAGACAGGGATTGAAGTTATTGGTATAATTCAAGGTTTTTGATATGTATAGATATAGAAATAAATATAAATATGAAGGGGTGTGTGCGTTTACATGTATCTCCCGTAGCTGTGTCCACTAAGAGGTCCCAGGAACAGTGACACACTGGTGATAGAGAACACACTTAGCACTGAGATATTGGTTTCTAAATACTGTTCTCCACTAAAAAGAACTAGGGCTTGTTGGAGAAAACTGCTAATTCTAGAGCTGGTTCTAAGAAAGAACAAGGTGATCCTGCAACATCTTGTACAAGAAAGTAAGGAATGATAGGGACTTGTCAAAAGGCACAGGAACCAGATTGAAGGGGCTCCCACTGGCCAAATCCAACATAACTTGAGCTTCAAAACTAATAATGATAGCAGTAAATATATCTCATTGAATAAAATAAGAATCCACAAAAACTGGAGCTCTTTATTAAAGAAAAAAGAAAATGAACCTCTATCCTTACATGACACCATAGACAAAAATTAACTCTGAAAAAGCTGTGGTACTGGCATAAAGATGGACATATAGATCAATGAGATAGTATGTAGAGTCTAGAAAGTAACATATATATTCTTTAAGGTCAACTGATTTTTGACAAGGGTGCCATATCACTCAGTGGGGGAAAGAATAGTATTTTCAACAAATGGTTTTGGGACACCTGAATATCTACATGCAAAAGAATGAATTTGGACCACTACTTCATATCATATGTAAAAATTAACTAAAAATGTTTAAAGGATCTAAATGTAATAGCTAAAACTATAAAACTGTTAGAAAGAAGAATAGGTATAAATATACATGACCTTGGATTAGGCAATGGTTTTATAGTTATGATACCAAAAGCAGAAGCAATCAAAGGAAAAATAGATAAATTGGACTTCATCAAAATTTATATTTTTTGTGTGTCAGGGACACTATTAAGAAAGTGTAAAAGCAACTCAGAATGGAAGGAAATATTTTCAAATCTTATATCTGAATAAGGATCTAATGCATAGAATGTATAAAGAACTCTTACAATGTGACAATAAAAAGACGAACAACCCAACTAAAAAAATGAGCAAAGGATTCGAATAGACATTTCTCCATAGATATACAAATGGCCAATAAGTGGATGAAAAGATGCTCAATATCATTAGGGAAATGCAAATCAAAACTACAATGAGATACCACTTCACAATACATAACATATGATGGCTATAGTTTTTTTTTTAGAAAGAAAAAGGATAAAAACAAGTGTTAGCGAGGATGTGGAGAAATTGCAACCTTCATCCATTGCTGGTGGGAATGTTAAATGGCACAAATACTTTGGAAAACAGTCTTGACCGTTTCTGAAAATGTGAAATAATTACCTCATGACCCAGCATTTCCACTCCTAAGTATCTACCTGAGAGCGATATGTTCACGCAAAAATGTGTACACAGATGTTCATAGCCAAAAAATGGCAACAACCCAAATGTCCATCAAATGACGAATAAACAAAATATGATATATACATACAATGGAATATTATTCAGACACTAAAAAGAAATGAACTACAGGAATACTTTGGAGATATTATGGGTTCAATTACATACCACCTCAATAAAACAAATTGTCACGATAAAGTGAGACACAAAGTTTTTGGTTTCCCAGTATACATATAAGTTATGTTTACACCATACTGTAGTCTATTAAGTATGCAATGTACATACCTTAATTGAAAAATACTTTATTGCTAAAAAATGCTAACCATCATCTGAGCCTTCAGAAAGTTGTAATCTTTTTGTTGGCAGAGGATCTTGCCTCAATGTTGATGGCTGCTGACCGATCAGGGGAGTGGTTGCTAAAGGTTAGGGTGGCTGTGGCAATTTCTTAAAATAAGACAACAATGAAGTTTGTGCACTGATTGATTTTTTTCTTTCACAAACAGTTTCCCTATAGCATGCAAACTGTTCGATAGCATTTTACCCTCAGAACTTCTTTCAAAATTGGAGTCAGCCTTCTCAAATCCTGCTGCTGCTTTATCAACTAAGTTTATGTAATATTCTAAATCCTTTGTTGTCATTTCTACAATCTCACAGCATCTTCACTAGGAGTATATTCCATCTCAAGAAACTATATCTTTGCTCATCCATGAGAAAAACTCCTCACCTGTTAAAGTTTTATCATGAGATTGCAGTAATTTGGACACATCTTTAGGCTCCATTTCTAATTCTAGTTCTCTTGCTATTTCCACCATGTCTGTCGTTACTTCCTCCACTGAAGTCTTGTACCCTTCATAGTAATCCATGAGGGCTGGAATTGACTTCTTCCAAATTCCTGTTAATGTTGACATTTTTACCTCTTCCCATGAATCGCAAATGTTCTTAATGGCATCTAGAATGGTGAATGCATTCTAGAATGTTTTTAATCTACTTTGTTCAGACCTGTTAGAGGAATCACAATCTATGGCAGCCATAGCCTTACAAAACTGTATTTCTTAATAAGTCAAAATGAGTCCTTGATCCATGGGCTGTAGAATGGATGTTAGCAGGAACGAAAACAACATTAATCTCATTGTACATCTCTGTCATAGCCCCTGGGTGATTAGATGCATTGTCAATGAGCAGTATTATTTCCAAAGGAATCTTGTTTTCTGAGCAATAGGTCTCAACAGTGGGCTTCAATAAACCATGTTGTAAACAGATGTGCTGTCATCCCAGCTTTGTTGCTCCATTTATATTGCACAAACCGAGTAGGTTTAGCATAATTCTTAAGAGTCTTAGGATTTTTGGAATGATAAAAGAGCACTGGCTTCAACTTAAAGTCACTGGCAGCATTAGCCTCTAACAAAAGATTCAGCCTGTCCTTTGAAGCTTCGAAGCCAGGCATTGACTTTTCCTCTATAGCTATGAAAGTCCTAGATGGCATCTTCCAATATAAGGCTGTTTCATTTACATTGAAAATCTGTTGTTTAGTGTAGCCACCTTCGTTAATTATCTTAGCTAGATCTTCTAGATAATTTGTTGCAGCTTCTACATCAAAACTTGCTGCTTCACCTTGTATTTTTATGTTATAGAGACTGCTTCTTTCCTTAAACCTCATGAACCAGCTTCTGCTAGTTTTAAATTTTCTTCTGCAGCTTCCTCACCTCTCTCAGACTTCACAGAATTGGAGAGAGTTAGGGCCTTGTTGTGGATTAGGCTGCGGCCTAAAGGTATATTGTGGCTGGTGTGATCTTCTATTCAGACCACTAAAATTTTCTGTGTATCAGCAATAAGGCTGTTCCACTTTCTTATCATTTGTGTATTGACTGGAGTAGCACTTTTAATTTTCTTCAAGAGCTTTTCCTTGGCATTTACAACTTGGCTAACTGTTTGGCACAACAGGCCTAACTTTCAGCCTATCTCGATATTCAACATGCTTTCCTCACTAAGCTGAGTCTTTTCTAGCTTTTGATTTAAAGGGAGAGATGTGTGACTCTTCCTTTCACTTAAACACTTAGAGGCCATTGTGGGGTTATTAATTGGCCTAATTTCAATATTATTGTGTCTCAGAAAATAGGGAGGCCCAAGGCTGGTCATGGGAATAGTCAGAAGACACACAACTTTCATCGATTAAGTTCACTGTTTTATATGAGCATGGTTCATAGCACCCCAAAACAATTACAATAGTAACATCAAAGATCATTGATCATAGATCACTATAACAAATAAATAATAATGAAAATTTTGAAATATTCTGAGAATTACCAAAATGTGGTACATTGACATGAGATGAGCAAATGCTGTTGGTAAAATGGCGTCAATAGACTTGCTTGATGCAGGGTTGCCACAGACCTTCAATTTGTAAAACAGACAGTATTTATAAAGTGCAATAAAGTGAAGCACAATAAAACAAAGTATGCCTGTACTGATGCATGCTACAACATGGATTAACCTTGAAAACATTAGGCTAAATGAAAGAAGCCAGACACATTGGGCCACATATTTTATGATCTATTTATATGAAGTGTCAAGAATATTCAAATCCATAGAGACAGAAAGTAGGTTAGTGGTTGCCAGAGGGTGGGAGGTGGGAGGAATTGCAACTAACTGCTAATTGGTACAGGGTGTCTTTTCGGGGTGATGGAAGTGTTCTGGAATTAGATAATGGTGATTATTGCATAATATAGTGAATATACTAAGAACCACTGAAATACAGACTTTAAAAATGGTAAATTTTATATTATGTAAGTTATGTCAATTAAAAAAATTAAAATTATTAAACTCCTAGAAAAAATACAGAAAATGTTATGACATTCGGTTAGATAAAGATTTTTTTAAACAGGGCACAAAAAGTACAAACCATAAAAGAAAAAGTTGCTAAATCAGACTTATCAGAATTAAAAACTTACCTTTAAAAACCAAAGTTAAGAAAATGAAAAGGCAGGCCACATACTGGGAGAAAGTATTTTCCAAACATATCTGATATAGAATATATAAAGAATTCTTACAACTCAATAAGACAACTTAATTTAAAAATGGGCAAAACATTCGAAGAGACATTACACCAAAGAAGATATATAGATAACCAAAAGATACATGAAAAGATGTTCAACATCACTAGTTATTAGGAAAATGCAAATTAAAACCACGATGAGATACCTCTGTCTATTGACTAGAATGACTAAAGTTAAAAATTCTGAAAATACTAAGAATTGGTAAGAATGTGGAACAACTGGAATTCTCATAGACTGTTGATAGGAATGTAAAATGATGCAGATGCTTTGGAGAAAGGTCTTGAAGTTTCTTATAAAACTAAATATATACTTATCTTACAACTCAGCAATACCACAAGGGAAATGAAAACCTATGTTTACACAAAGACTATGCTTTAACAGTCATGGCCGCATTATTCATAATATCCCTAAACTGTAAATAACCCAAATACTCATTAACTGATCAACAGATAAACAAATTGTAGTATGTCTATAGTATGGAATACTACTTAGCAGTAGAAAGAAAAGACACAGTGAGACAAACTGATACACACAATAACATGGATAAATAGCCAAAACATTATACTAATTGAAAGAAGTTAAACACAGAAGACTACATACCGAACTCAAAAGATTTTAAGTCTAGCTGTAAAATGTAAAACTATAAAACTTTTAGAAGAAAACAGGAGAAAATCTTCATGCCCTGGATTTAGGCAAAAAGTTCTTAGGCATGACACCAAAAGCATGATCCAAAAAGAAAAAAGTGGTAAATTTTAATTTTGACTTCCAAAATTTAAAACTTTTGCTAAAAATACAAGAGAATAAAAAGAAAATATTTGCAAATCATGTTTGCAACAAAGTACTTTGTATCCAGAATCAGAATGCATTTTAAAAAAAAACAAAACTAAAAACTCAATAGTGAAAAATACCAACCCAATTGAAAAAATGGGCAAAATATTTTAACAGATACTGTACCAAAGAGTTTATATAGATGGCACATGAAAAGATAGTCAACATTATTAGCCATTAGGATAATGCAACTTAAACCCGCAATGAGATACCATTATATACCTATTAGTATGACTAAAATGAAATATGCTGAAAATAGCAAGTGCTGACAAGGATATGGAGCAACTGGGACCCTCATACATTGTTTTTGTGAATATAAAGTGGTACTGTCACTCTAGAAAACCATTTGGCAGTTTCTTATAAAGTTAAACACATTCTTATGATACAACCTAGCAATCCTATTTCTAGGTATTTACCCTAGAGAAATGTAGAATTATATTCACACAAAAATCCACACAAATGTTTATAGCAGCTCTATTCATAATCATGAAAAACTAGAAACAACCCAGTGGATTAACAAACAGTGGTACATCCATGCAATGGACTACTACTCAGCAATAAAAAGGAGTCAACTATTGATACGTGCACCAATTTGGATGAACCTCAGACATTATGCTGAGTAAAAGGAGCCAGTCTCCAAAGGTTACATACTATATGATTCCATTTATATAATGTCTTATTCTGTTTTTTTGGGCTGTTATAACAAAATTACCATAGACTAGATGGTTTAAACAACAAACATTCATTTCTCACAAGTTCTGGAGGCTGAGAAGTCCAAAGTCAAGGTTTTGGCAGGTTTGGCATCTGATGAAGGCTTATTTTCTGGTTCATAGGCGGCTTTGCGCACAAGACCCAATCACTTCCCAAAGGCCCCACTTCCAAATACCATCATACTGGGAATTAACTTTCAACATATGAATTGAGGCGAGGACATGGACATTCCGTCTATAACATATGATATTTTTGAAATGGCAGTATAGTAATGGAAAACTAATTAGGAAGGGAAACTATCAAGTGATATCATGAGAAAGATTATTGAGATGATGCACCCCTTTCTGTATCCTGATTGTAGTGGTGATTGCACAAATCTGTGCGTGGGTTAAAATTTATAGAACTATACACTAGATAAATAGTTTTACTATATAGTAATATAAAAAATAAAAATTTTAATAGGACCTATAATGAATTTGCTGGGAGGACTTACTACCCGATAAGGACTTACTACCCGAAAAGGCACTTACTACCCGATACATAGTAAACATTCAATAAAATGTTTAACTGTTATTATTATTAATGTTTTAAGTTTATGGGATTCCTATCTCCCACCCCCATTAAAACTTACTTAAATACATTGGAAATGCAGACATTTAAAAGGGATGCTCACTGAAGGGGAAACGCAGTAGTGGTGCACAGTTGCTGATCAATGTGTAATGAAGTGTTATGGGACAAGGGAGAGGTCCAAGGGGAAGCATGGGCTGAGAAGATGAGGCTAGTTGCTTGCTGGGGGCTGACCTTGCCAGACTCCTTCAGGTCATTTGATACCACTGATTGATGCTTGATACTCATCAAGTGCTGCTTCTCTGTTGTGACAGTTTGCTGGGATGGAGTCAGGCTATGCTTGCTTTTGTGGAAACAATCCTGATTACTGGAAGTACGGGGAGGCAGCCAGTACTGAGTGCAACAGCGTCTGCTTCGGGGATCACACCCAGCCCTGTGGTGGCGATGGCAGGATCATCCTCTTTGACAGTGAGTATGCCCTGTTCCGATTACTGTTGAAAACACAGGAACCTTTGGGCCAGGGGAACAAGCTTGCCTCCCTTTCCTTCCTTCCATTTATTCATTCATTTACTTGGCACTACTTACTAAGCACCTACTGCAGGTCAGGCACTGACCAGACCCTGGGGATACAGCTCTGAAGAAGAAGTCTCAGCCCCTGCCCTCTGGAAGGGAGAACATTCATTTAACAAGTAATTAATTATAGCTGTGCCACATGCTTTGAAGAGACACAGCCTATTGTAAGATACATAGCCAACCTAGAAAAGATGACCTTTCCAATTTGATGTAGACACTAACATAACTGTTCAGCATCAGCTTTAAGATCCTCTTGTTTTAATGTAATTTCCAAGCCCTTTTAGTGTTTTCTTAGGCACTTGGGATTTATATCTTATTGTGATGCAGCTGAGAAGAGAACATAAGTTGTCTTCCAGGCCCGGTACTGAGTGTGCCTGACCCATCTCCTCTCTGACCTGCTGCGCTTGTGAGATGCTGGCTAGAGGCAGAGTGTGTTCTGAATAGGTTATGGATCTGGGGCCTTGACCTCTCCAACACCTTCTTCTAACCTCTGGGACACCTGATCTCTCGTCATAATCCACCCGCATCCACTCAGTGGTAGTGAGACTTTGTGAGAGACATAGTACCAGTATCTGGTATCATAGTACCAGGTTTTAAGATGGTAGAAAGAAAATAGTCACAAACAAGGCAGACAAAAGGAAAGGTTGTGATTACTAAGATACACTATGGAGTTTGTAATGGCTTTGTTATACTCTTTACATCTCGACTAGGCAGAGTGGCTCAGTTTTAAGCAAAAATGTCATATAATGTATTAGTTTCCTAGGGCTACTATACCAAATTATCACTAACTGGGTGGATTATAAGAACACAAATGTTTTATCTATTAGTTTGATAGTCTAGAAGCCTAAAATCAAGGTGTTGTCAAGGCCAGGTTCCCGCTCAAAGCACGAAGAAAGAATCCTTTGCCTCTTCCTAGTTTCTGATCATTGCCAGTAATCCTTGGCATTCCTTGGCTTGAGCTGTATCATTTCGATCTCTGCCTCCCTCTTCACATGGCTGCCTTCTCTCTGTATGTGTCTATGCCTCTGTGTCTCTCTGTATCCCTCTATAAGGACACTAGTCATTGAACTTAGGGCCCACCCCGATTGAGTATGGCCTCATTTAATTTGATCACATCTGTACAGACCATATTTCCAAATAAGTTCACATTCATAGATACCAGGCATTAGGACTTGACATATCTTTTTGGAGGATACAATTCAACCACGACATTTGGTGACTGTAAAACCCAGCCCAAGTTTATAACTGAGCCTGTCACAGGTTATAGCTTAGACATTGCCTAAAGTGTGTCAGTTTTTTGCAGGAAGGACAGGGGAAGGATTGGCAGGCAGAACTCACAAAATTAATTGTTGGCCTTTTTAGTTAAGTGCGCCCATTGGAGACTGCCAGTGGCTTCCTCCACATCATGTTATAGAAGGCAAATGCTCAGTTTTAGTACCTCTATTAAAGCTAAATACTGAACCTTGGCTAACATTTAAGGAAGAATAGTTAGCAAATAACATGCATTGTACATTTTTAACCTTTCATTTCCAGAGTTATTATAAAGTCCTCTGCCGTGATAACCCAGGAGAGGATGTTTGCTAAGCTTACAAATACTCTTAAGTGAAAAAAGAAAGGAAATAAACATTAAGTACCTAATATGTATTAAGGCTTTATATAAATTATCACATTAGATCCTCCCAGTTGCCATCTGAGGAAGGAATTATTATCACTGATTTTACGGAAGAGAGTCCTAGGATGTGGAGAAGACGAATAATTTGCTGAGCCTCATATGCTGCCAACAAGCCGTATGTGGGAGTAGCCAGTAAACAGAAGCAGGGTGTGTGGGTTTACTACCTATTTTTCTGCTTTAAACAGAATATTATGTTAATTTTTTAAAGCGGAAAATAAGTGTTGGTGAAGATGTGGAGATGTTGGAACACTCATACATCGCTGGTGGAAATGTTAAATGGTGCAGCTGCTTTGGGAAACAGTCTGGCAGTTTCTCAAAACATAAAACAGGCTTACCTGTGACCCAGCAATTCCACTCTTCAGTGTATCCCCATGAGAGTTGTAAACATATGTTCACACAAAAACTCGTACACGAAAGTTCATAGCAGCATTATTCATAATAGCCCAAAGTGGCAACAACCCAAATGTCCATCAACTGATGAATGGATAAACAAAATACAGTAGAGGCATACCTCATTTTGTTGTACTTCACTTTATCGTAATTTTTGTTGTACTTCTCAAATATCACAATTTTTGCAATTGAAGGTAAGACTCTTTACCAGCAAAAAGATTATGGCTTGCTGAAGGTTCAGATGGATAGTTACCATTTTTTAGCAATAAAGTATTTTTTAATTAAGGTGCATACATTTTTAGACATAATGCTATTGTATACTTAATTGACTATAGTATAGTGTAAACATAGCTTTTTCGTGTGATTCACTTTATTGTGATATTCACTTTGTTGCAGTGACCTGGAACCAAACCCACAATATCTCTGAGGTATGCCTGTAGATTTATACAAGGGAATATTATTTAGCCACAAAAAAATGAAGTATTGACACATGCTACAACATGATGAGCCTTGAAATCATATGCTCAGTGAAAGAAACCAGATGCCAAAGGCCACGCATTTTATGATTCCATATATAGGAAATGTCCAGAATAGGCAAATCCATAGAAACAAAAAATAGATTGATGGTTGTCAAGGGCCGGGTGAGGGCAGAATGGGAAGTGACTGCTTAATGGATATGGGTTTTCTTTTGGGGGTGATGAAAAATTGGAATTAGAAAGTGGTGATGGTTATACAACATTGTGAATAATGCCACTGAACTGTACACTTTAAAATGGTTAAAATAGTGAATTTTACGTCAATAAAAAATAGAATATAATTTTTATATAACCATTTAGCACATTTTTATTAGATATCTGCTGTGTGGCAGATAAAATTATGTTTTATTTAGTACAATGCCTCTGTTGGAGCTATAAATGGAAATAATTTGGTTTAAATTCAATCATGTATAAAATATCATCTTTGGTGCTAAAAATATATCTAGGAGATAGTATTGGGCCTCACACCAAGGTGCATTAAAATGAATTTAAAACAATGAAAATAATTACTGTCTATTGAGTGCCTGCCAGGTGCTTTATTTTGTTATTTGATCCTTGAAACAGCCCTGTTGGTAAGAAAACTGTGCATCAAAAGATAGAATAATTTGTACAAGTAAATAAGTGCCAGAGCCAGGTTTCGAACCCAGGTTTGCCACATTTTTATTTTTTCTATTTTCAGCAGCTAGAATCTCTTTTATTAACAATAATAAAATAGATCATAATAACAGATCCAGTTTAATGCTTTAAAAGTATGTGAACAAAGTTTGTGCAGTTGTTCTGATTATTATTAAACTGACCCCTTCTGCAGCTCTCCAGAGGCCGCCCTCTCTGGTGTCCATTCACTCAAGGACTAAGGTTTGCATTCTAAGAGGGTGCCTACTCCAGTCTTCAGAGGCCCTGATAAAGTGTTGATTGGCGGGGGCCCCTGACGATAGCTAACGCTGTTAGCTCATACCCTACAGCTCTGCAGAGAAAGGTACAAGATGCAACACTGTAAAAATAATTTCTAAAGTTTCATCTACTAGAGAATGAAATAGTTTAAAGAGCTTGAGTACTGCCTCATGGAAATCCTTATGATCCATTGCATAAGGCTGAGCATTTTGGAGATGTTGCCTGCAGACTGTCCCATAATTTGGAAGGACAAAGATGTCATTCGAAGGAAATTGAAGAAGTTAGATGGTGAGAAAGGGACCAGGTTATAGTCTCTGTGTCCCAGAACATCAAGCTCTGCTACCAGTGTGTCTTGAACCTGGGTCTCAGTCAGAATGTCAGTAAGATCCTCCTGTTCTCTGCTCGTTACAAAAGATCATTGCAGACTCCTCAGCTCAAGAGGCACTTAGGCTGCATTTGCACCTCAGGAGAGAGACTGGAGGCAGCTGGTGGAAGCTGTCTGCTCAGTCATCATTGGTGCATCAAGTAATTTGTCATAGGCTCTATGGTTGATTTTCCAGCAAGCTCTCTTGAACTTAGGGAGGTCTGTGTTCTATGTATAAACGCAGCACTGATGGAGGCTTCAGAGCCTCTACTGCCCCCAGAATTTAATTTATTGAATTAACAGAACCAAATAGAAGATCAGGTAGGCCGGAGTCAACATGAGATTACAGGCACTGCCCAAGCTGGCCTCATGGGCCTCCCTCAGCTTCTCAGCACTGAAGGGATAAGTGAATCATATGGATTGGGTCTTACTTTTAACATTAGTTAAGCACTTATAGTTGTGGGGCACTGTGCTCTTCACTTTCCATGTATTCTTTCCCTTAATCCTCAATACTGTTAATCAGGTACTGTTATCTTTATTTGCCATATGAGAAAATTGAGGCTTATGAAAATTCAGTATCTTGCCCAAAGACCCAGAAATAGTGATTCTGCCCTCATGGAACTTATATTTTAGTGGGAAGGAAAGAGATTAAAGATGAAAAGGATCGAGAGTCCAAGGATAGGATCTAACAACTGGGACTTCATTAGTAATTGGATTTCATTGGCTCCAAGATGCTATCAATTGTAAGATGTAGCATTATTTTACATACCACTAAGGGGAAAAAAAGGCCTCCAATTAAACAATGACATGCATTGATCGAGAGACACATCCCAGGTTTATGTTGCAGGCTAATCTCCCCTTCAAAAAATAAGATCTTGAAGATATTCCTAAGTTTCTAGTGTTCTACTATATCACTAAATTTTAATAAATCCATCATAGATGTCATGTGTTCTCAAAATTGCTGAATTGGACATGCTGTCAGTGTGGCACACATCTGGGAATCGAAAGTTCCAAGCTTTTTTTTTTCTTATTTTTAATCCAGATTACAAGTTAAATAATTATATTTATGTGTTATATACTCTTTTTCCTTTGCGAATGCTTATTTTCTGAAAAAGATTCAAATGAAGACTGTAATCATCAGTTTTAAAATTCGTGACAACAACCAGGCTGTCCATGCTTACCCTCAGTAATTCTTTTAAAAAAAAAAAAAATAAATTTATTTATTTAAATTAGTTTCAAGGATACAATCCATTGGGTAGACATCTATATCATTCATAAAATGATCCCCCCAATTGCTCCCTCCCTCCCCTGACCCTCCCTTAGCCATCATATTAATGATAACTGCATTCCCTGTGCTGTGCTCCCCATCCTCCTGCCCAACTATCAACTACTAATTCGTACTTCTTTAATCCTTCACCCCATTCTCCCAGCACCCCAACCCCCCTCCCCCAAAAGTTCCAAGTTTAAGGTCTGCCTTTGCTGTTGAAATAACAGTTTAACCTGGATACTTCTATTCTTTCCTAAAATAATAATAATAATAATAATAGAATAGCTATTTACCAGACCTTATACCTAAACATTTTACACAGATCAATGCATAATTCTTATAACTCCATGAGGGAAAAACTATTGTTATTTTCATTTTATAGACAAGGAGACTGAGGTACATGGAAGTATCTTGCTCAAATTCACAGTTAGTACCTGGTAAAGTCAAGATTAGAACCTAGGAATTCTTTTTTTTAATTTAGATTTATTGAGGTATAATTTACACACAGTAAAAATTACCCTTTTAGTTGTACAGTTTGGTAAGATTTGACAAACGTATATACACAATCAAGATATAGAACATTTTTATCACTTCAAAAGTTATCTTGTGCCTTTAGCAGTCAGTCCTCTCCTCTACCCCCAGCCCTTAGCAACCGCTGCTGATCTGTATTCTATCTGTATAGTTCTGTCTTTTGAGAATGTCACATAAATGGAATCATACAGTATTTAACCACTTCTGGCTTCTTTCACTTAGAATAATGCTTTTGAGATTCACCTATGTTTCAGTAGTTCCTTTTTATTACTAAGAAACATGCCTTTGTACAAATGTATCAGTTTGTTTATGTATTTACAGCTAACAAACATTGGTCTGTCTATGATAAAGGTGTTATAAAGCTACTAAAAACGTGTGTGTTTGTGTGAGCATGTTTTCATTTCCCTTGGGTAAATACCTAGGAGTTCCAGGATTTCTGAGTCTCATGTTAAGTGCATATTTAGCATTTATAAGAAACTGCTAACTTTTCCAAAGTGGCCATACCATTTTGCATTCTGACCAACAACATATGAGACTTCTAGTTGCTCCGCATCCTTGCCTGCATTCTTGTATTGTCTGTTTTTTCCGTGTTAGCCGTTTTAGTAGGTGTGTAATAGTAACTCATTGTGGTTTTAATTTGCATTTCCATAATTACTAATGGTGTTGAACATCTTTTCATGTTCTTATTTGCCTCCTGGTATCATACTCTTTTAGCTTAAAGAGGTTCCTTCAGCATTTTCTCTAATGCAGGTCTCTCAGCTTTCATTTGGGAAAGCTTTAATTCACCTTCATTTTTGAAAAATATTTTTGTTGCATATTGAATTTTATGCTGACAGTTTTCTTTCGGTACTTCAAAACTATTGTTTCTTTGTCTTGTGCCTTGTATAATTTCTAGGGATGTGCGCTCTATTTTTGTTCCCCTATATGTAACCTTTTCCTTTCTTCTGCTTGCTTTTGGGATTTTATCTTTGCTTTTGGTTTTCAACATTTAACTATGACATGTCTAGGTATGTTTTCTTTGTTGTTTTTTTTTATTTTTGCTTTTTAACTTATTTGCTTGGGGTTTGCTGAGATTCTTAGATTACTTTTCATTGACTTTGGAGCATTCTTAGCCATTTTCTCTTCAAATATTTCTTCTGCCCTATTCTCCTTTTCTACTCTTTCTGGGACTCCAATTACTTATTGTTAGATCATTTGATGTCCCACGATTGTTGGATGCTCTCTTTTGCTCTTTTCACTTCTTTTTTTCTGTGTTTTATTTTGAATAATTTCTATGAACCTGTCTTCAAATGTTTTGATTCTCTCCTCAGCTTTGTGCAGTCTATTTATAAGCCCATCAAAGGAGTTCTTCATCTCTGATATTGTTTGTTTTACTTCTAGCATTTACATTTAACTCTTTTTTTCTAGTTTCCATATCGCTGCTGACATCTGTTCAAGCATGTTGTCCATCTTTTCTACTGGGTATTTTCTGTATTAATCATGTAGTCTCTGTCTGGTAGTTCTAATGTCTGGGTCATTATTGAATCTGGTTTTTTGGATTGGTTTATCTCTCCTTTTTAAAAATTGAGATGTAATTGGCATAGAACATTGTATTCATTTCAGGTTTACAACATAATGGTTTGAGATGTATGTGTATATACATATGTATATATTTACTAGATGTTTTATCTCTTGACAATGAATCTTTTTTTTTTTCCTTAATTATTTTCTTGCTTTTTTGTGTATGTTGAAATATTTTACTGACTTCCATACACGATGCATAGAAGATTGGTAGAGGCCGAGGTCAGTAGAGCTTACACCTGGAAATAGGCAGGCCTCCTTAGTGTGGGGATTGAGCCAAACTGTCAGTAGTGAGCTGGGTTTGGGTTTTCTTATTTCTGTCATTACCTTCATTGCACATCAGATTTCAGATTCCTCCAGTGATGAACTGCTGTTACCTTGTGCTTAATGTGGAGCCCGGGATGCCATTGTTTTTCGTTTTTTTGTTTTTTTTTTTTCCAGTGTTTCTGTTCCACCCTCAGCTTTGAGCAGTTTCTATATGCCTATGCCACAGAGAGGACCTTTTCCATCCCTCAGTGGCAGACTGCTGTTGCTTGTTACTTGGTCCTATGATCTTGGTGAGGTCAAAGGCAGTGGTGGTGGAAGGGGGATCTTAGTTCTCCTGCCCATACTCATTCTTAGACAAGACATGTTACTGGGCCTCAGGGGTGGGACCTCTTTAGCATCCCGGCACACCTCTTCCCGGCAGCCAAACACTGCCTTGCATCTGTGGTGGCTCTCAGGAAAGAGAGAGTTTCCTGCCCCTGCTTTACAATGGTTCAGGATCCTGGGGCTCAAGGCAACCAGGGGCTTATAGCTTTTGCTTCTGCTCTTTCCCCAGAAGCAGTAGATCTTTGTCTGGTTACTTTGGCAGGAAGAAGAGCTTTTCCTACTCTCTCTTCCCAGAGGCAAACAGGTTTTGCTTCTGCCCTGGCCATAGAAGCAAGAGGATTTGCTGCCCCTCTCCCAGCAGCTGAAGGCTTTGCTTCCTTTGCAAGGAGAGTCCAGGAAGTGGCAAGGTTTCGCACCTGTTTCCCAGCAACAGCTGATCACACCCATGCCACCAAGGGGGACTCTTTGGTCTGCTGCCCTACCTCAGTCACTCTGGTGGGCACTGGGCGGAAGCCTGCATAGAACTGCTTGCAAGTGAGTGCAGACTCCTGCTGTGTCTGGAGCTCCTGGTTATCCTAGACTGAGAGACTACCCCACATTCAGCTTTTTGGAATTTGGTAAAATTTTAGCTGCTTTCTTCTTACTTGCTACTATGGTGGCTACCTCTTCCTCTCATGCTCTGTCAAGGATAAAACACTTTTGTATGGCCTGACTCTCCTCAGAGGGGCTTCTTACTATTTAGAATTGAATTCCATTTGTCTTCTTCAATCCAGCTTTCTGAAGGGTCGAAGAAAAGTTTTGAGCTTTTTCTCACTGTTCGGATGGAAGCAGCATTCTCTTACTGCTTTCTATGTCCTAAAGGGAAGTGGAACTCCCCTAAAGTCTGCTTTTTAAATCCCAGCCCTACACGCCCTCTCAAAGACTTTCATTTCTAGCACCTTGTTTATATACTTCACCACATAAGATATGGTGAAATAGTCGTATCTCCTTCCCAGAACCCTCAGATCAAAAATAGGAGTTCAGAGGAATCAAATGTGCTAATACAGTGATCAGAATTGAGTGAGTCTCCACTATGCAGTCAGTTCTCATGTCAGTTTCCCTCTTGAAAAATGTGTGGACCACCATGTGAGCACTGCACCTCTAAGGTGTCAGGGATGCCCTTCTCTTTTTACTTTACCTCGTCGAGTACCTCCACAGCAAAGAGGTCCCAGAGTTTTCATGTGCTTTATGTCATCTGTCCTCACACATTCATGTGATACAGGAGCAGGTGGTGGTCTTTCCATCCTTAAAACTGAAAGAAGCAAAAGTCCTGGAAGTGAAGGATCACATGGCCCAGCTGGTCCCAAACCCAGACTCTCTGACTCCAGCCAGGCCCCCACCTAGGTCGCACCACTGTTCTATGTGCTAATTCTAAGGTCTCCTGGGCAAAAAAAAAAAAAAAAAAGCCTTCACAGTCATTCGTTCAGGGCTTAAGTGATTCATTTTGTGATTTGATCCTGAAACATAAGACAGTCTGGTTTTATAGGCCGAAAAAATGACATCTCAAACTGGATAACATTAGTTAAGAAGAGTTTTGTTTGTAACAGATTGGAAAGCGAGCCCTGTGGCTGAGCCCCAGGCTGAGTGTCCTTTTGTCTTCCACAGCTCTCATTGGTGCCTGCGGTGGGAATTATTCAGCCATGACTTCTGTGGTCTATTCCCCTGACTTTCCTGACACCTACGCCACAGGGAGGGTCTGCTACTGGACCATTCGGATTCCAGGAGCCTCCCATATCCACTTCAACTTCACCTTATTTGACATCAGGGATTCCGCAGACATGGTGGAGCTGCTGGACGGCTACACCCACCGCGTCCTGGTCCGTTTCAATGGAAGGAACCACCCACCTTTGTCATTTAACGTCTCTCTGGATTTTGTCATTCTGTATTTCTTCTCTGATCGCATCAATCAAGCCCAGGGATTCGCTGTCTTATACCAAGGTAAGACTCCCCTGTGTGTCCCGGGCTTTGGACAGTTCTTGCCGGGAGGTCCATGAGTCAGGAGCTTGCAGGTTTTCCCACCAACCTTTTCATAACTCGTATATGTGTCATGATACAGAAGAGAGCTGGAACCTGTCGATTTTGCTGTGTTAGGAATTCTAATCACAGTTTTCATGGGAGGATTAAAAGAACAAGTAAAAGGACGAGCTGAGATTGGTAGACTTGGAAGGCTCTAAAGAGGTCATTTGGTCCATCCTTCTGCCTCTCATCGTGATTTGGTTCATCCTCCTGCCTCTCAGGATCCCAGCCAATCCCAAAAGCCTGGTATCCCATCTTTCTTCAAGTCCTCCTAAGGCAGAGTCCCACTCTCTGCCCCTGTAATGTGGACACATGTGTTCTGGGCACATCTTTGTCAGCACATGAGAAAAACAGTGGGAATATAAGACCTAGGCTTTGTCTTGGATGTCAGAGGCCTTAAGAGTTTAGTCATCATGTGCTACGGGAAGTCAGAGGGAGGAGACCTCCCTGCAGGTGGGACAGTCTTGAAGAATAGGTAGGATTTGGGTCATTAGATAGCAAGGAAGAGGGTCTTCCAAGCAGGAGCAATAGCTGCAAAGGCACAAAGGTGGGAAAATGATAAAGCACGCTCAGATGTCCGTGAAGAGACCACTTAAATGACTGGAAGTTGACAGCTCATTCCTTCTGTCTCCTTCAGGTCCAGGGCCTGGCAGGTTCTGCTTTAAGGCCAGTGGGTCCAGTGGGGAGAATTGCATCCAGAATTGAATCAGAGAAAATAGCCTTTCTACATAACCAGTGCTATCTCCTCCATAGCTCTTCACTGTCTTTATCAGCTTTCCCCTACTTAATTCCTTTTTATCTTCCAGCCGTCAAGGAAGAACCGCCACAGGAGAGGCCCACTGCCAACCAGACACTGGCCGAGGTGATCACAGAGCAGGCCAACCTCAGCGTCAGTGCTGCCCGGTCCTCCAAAGTCCTCTACGTCATCACCACCAGCCCCAGCCACCCACCCCAGACCGTCCCAGGTAGCAGTTCCCAGACGTCATCAAAGGGGGTGGAAGCCACAGAGCTTGAAGGCAGCAGTGTTGGCAGTTACAGACACAGAGCACTCTCGGGTGTTTTCTCATTCCAAAGCTGGTTGGGGGTCCTGGCTCTGTGACTCTGTCTTGGCCTTTGGGGGATATTTTCTCATTAGCTTGATTCCTTAGTCCTTAGGAAAAAGTGCTCACCTGCATAGATTCAACATGTGTGCTTTTTGTACATTGCGATTAATCTGCTAATCTAGTGTTTTCTCACGTTGAGAATATCTTTCTAGAGCTCCAAGCTGTAGCTCCCTAAATTCATTGGCAATTTCAGCGTCATTCATTCATTCAGAAGATATTTAAGTGCTTTAATGGTGCCAGGTGCTGTTATAGGCACTGGACTATACAGTGAACCAAACAAAATCTGCCCTCCCATGGCTTACAAGTGAGAGGAGAAAGACAAGAAGCAAAATAAAATCGGCGATAAGAGCTGTGAAGAAAAGTCTTGCAGGAGAGGGATAGACAGTGGTCTACAGTCTGTGGTTTAAGCTGGCTAACTTGGTTGAGTACAAACCTCCATTCTTTCTTTTCTGCCAAGGCAGTTAGGGCCTTTATGAGCTGACAGAGCTGCAGAGTACCGTTAGCAATTACCTAGCCTAGTGCTTTTCAGACTGTTCCTTAAGTCTCCTGTGGGTTTCACCATAGAAGATCAGAGACAAGAGCCCCTGCAGTACTTGCTCTGTGTCATTTGTGTATCCCAGTAGGATTTCATAGGTCACATGTCTCATTCCTCAGAAAAGGAAACTGAGGCCCAAAGAGTTTATGTAGCTCATCTGTAGTTGCACAGTAGATCCAGTGGTAGAGACAGAATGTACACCACCCCTTTCAAATCTGAGTCCAGCATACTTTGGACTACACCACCGGCCTCTCTCCAAGATGGAGCTCTAGAGCCAGGCGAAGTGCACAGAAGGCCAGGACTCCATGCCTTCCTGGCTCTCAGCTAGGTTTGGTGGCTGCCCCCACCGCATGGTGCTCCTCAGCCAGACTTGCATCTCTGAGTGTTCACTCAGGGCTTCCAACAGACTTCCTTTTGAAAACTGAGCTCAGACAGGTCTGGTAAACCCTGGTTTTTGCCTTTACAGGATGGACAGTGTATGGCCTGGCAACTCTCCTCATCCTCACAGTCACAGCCATTGTAGCAAAGATACTTCTGCACGTCACATTCAAGTGAGTACAAGAGAGCTGCCCAGTTCCGGGAGGGGAAGCCTCAGGAGTCCTTTTCTACTATACTTCATTTTCTGGGTACAATTGTAATATCAAAACATGATTCCAAAGCCCTTAGTCCTAGGGAACATAAGGCAGTAGACATTCTTCATTCTCTGTAGAGTGAAATATACATGGACAAATCTCACTAAGATTTGAGGGATTGTGTTTGCTCCTGTGACCAAAGGATGCAATTTCAAGGAAGATTGAAACAGTCTGGGCATAAAAAGCAACAATTTCCATTTTTTTGCCTTGTGCCGGCCCCTTAAAGAGATCTTGACGCGAAAGCAAAGATTCCTAGGACAGCACCATGCATTTTGCCTGGTGCCTTCTAGAAGAAATTGGGAACCATTCTCAGGAAGAGAATTCTAACATTTTATTAATTATTGCTTAATAGTGATTTTAAGGTAATTATTTAAGAATCTCATGGCTTATTGAATCCTTCAATTCTGACCAATTTGGAAAAAAAAACGTTTTCTTCCTTTACTTTGTTGCTCAGGTTTAACAGTCCTGCCTTCCAGGAAAGGGGCAATTGTTCGTGCTGCCGAAGTGTGTGTGCTTATGGAGGGGAGTTCATTCTAATTTTTTCTGGACTCCTGCTCTGTCTTTCCTGTGGGTCTCAGTCCAGGCTCTCTTCCTTTCTTTTTTTCCTCAGTTTTATTGTGATATAATTGATATACAGGCTTTCTCCATTGCAAGGCCTTCCTGCACATTGGTGTCCAGTGAAAGCCACCTTTTTCCTGACCTTCTCACCAGCCCTCTGCCACAGATTCTTTTATACATTAAATGCTGCCGGCTCCTCCATTGCCCTGTGAAGGCTGCCCTCGGCCATACTGCGATCACCCGTAGGCCTCTCCACTCTGCACTTCACATTTTTCGGTGGAAATAATGTCATTATTGCTTACTGAGTGTACTAGGATGCTTGCTCACGCTCTCTCTCTCTCCCTCCCCGCCCCCCATATATATATATATATATTTTTTTCCTTTCTTTTTTTCTTTTTAAGTTGCAATTCACATGTTCTGGAAGCCTCTGAGGCACAGTCCTGTCCACGTGTCCTCTATAGTAGTAGGAGAGCAGGAGGCTTCCTACAGGGCCCAGCAGCTTACAGCACACTGAGATCCTAAATTACATGTGACTCCCATCTGACATTGGAGTCCGTGTACAACTTCCCTGCCAAGCAGCACTGGTGGTAAGGCAGGACCCACTGCAAGCAGAGTGGTTTTGCCTTTATCCCATTTTAACTAGGTGGGCTTCCACGTAAATGTCACTTGAAAAAAAACATTTGTTACCAAAAAAAATTTGAAAAGTCATAATCTCTGAAGAAGCCCTTTTCACGTTTGGATAGTTCTGCCAGTTACAAAGCTCCTCGTTATCCCGAGCTGGAATCCGCCCTGCTGCACTCCCACCTCACAGGACTCGTTTCGTCAGCACAATAGTCCTTCGGATCTCTAAAGGCAGCTCTTAGGTCTTTCCTGGGACCTCACCTCACTAAGCATCCCATTTCATAGGTACACATAACTCATGATACGGTAGGTTGTTTTTATGCTTTGTTCTACTATACTTGAAAAACTACGCTATTTTTATTTGACAGATCCCATCGCGTTCCTGCTTCAGGGGACCCTAGGGATTGTCGTCAACCAGGGACATCAGGGGAAATCTGGAGCATTTTTTATAAGCCTTCTACTTCAATTTCCATCTTTAAGAAGAAGTTGAAGGGTCAGAGTCAACAAGATGACCGTAATCCTCTTGTGAGTGACTAAAAGCTACCCCCTGTGCCCAGGACATGAGGTTCCTCTGAGCTCAAGGCCACAAGAGACCACCTCTCCCGTGGTTTCCTCTGACCATCTTTCCCCTGCCTCTCCGTCAGCCTCTTCAGGGGCACCACCTCTGGCCTGGGAACAGGTGCCCCGCTGCAGGGGCAGGCATAGCCTGGATTCGTCCTGCTTCATCAGCTGCACTTAGGAGAGAGACTCAAGTTTCCTACATCTGTCTCTCTCTCTGTGATCTAGGAAAGAGGATATCAAGACGGCGGGGCTGAGATGATAGAGTTGGTTGTGTCCCAGCACTGGGTTCAGGTACATTCTAGACGACGTCAGGTGGTGGGTAGGTGTAGTGTATATCAAGTCTTACTTCCTTCTTCTCTGTTTTGTCCACACACAGATCACTTTCTCCTGGTCTTTATGGTTTGTAACAGAGCCAGACAGGGATAATTCTGAGGTTCTCTTGAGGGTTGGCCTGGTCCTGTACTCCTGGACATTAGCACCCCCAAAGTCCTAAAGAGGGCCTATGACCTGTGCTGACTCTGGAGCTTTGCTCCCTGGATGCTGGATGAGGATGATCCCCTCCCAGCTGGGAGGGTCTGAGACTTGGGAATGGTGATCCCCATTCACGTCAAACCTGACACTTTCCACATACAGGCTTCTTTCTATGGCTTCTTTCCATAGCTTGGTAACCAGCAGAGCACGCTTGAGAAGCGGTCATATAAAATATCCATTCAGTTATACACGTAACCGATGTTACCGAAAGCTTTTATAGGTGCTCAGTGACTCCTTGTTGGATTGGATTTGTCTGGCCTTGTCCCCAGCTTGTGGTCCTGTGGAAACTGAGGCTGGCCTGTATCTCTTCTTGATTCTCTAAGCTGACTCTCAGTTCAGAACAGGGAATATAAATATCGTGGTGTAGCATTTAGGCAGCGTTATGTGAAACAGGGTGCCAGCAGTCTCTCCTATAGGTGTCCTTCATTTTTAAAGAAGATCAAGAACACCCCACAGCTTGTGTTCTCTGCAGCCCTCTCTGCGCCTTCTTATGACAAAAGAGTGGGGGTCAGAATGGCTTGGTAGGGGAAGAGAGGGCTCTTGTGGAGAGGGTTCTCGTCCCTGATCCCACACTACCCTGCCCCTCAGGTGGGAGGTGAATCTCGGAGATGGCGTGAGGAGTGAGAGGGAGGGTTTGGGAACAGGAGACCTGCAAGTGCAGTAGCCACTGGTTGTGAGAGTCATTGCCATCACCAGTTTGGAATTCCCCACCATCCACAAGCGGGCTTTGTCAAAAGCATCTGAGAAGAGCAGACTGTGCCCCTGAAGCCCAGGCCGAGCCTTTGGCAGAACATGACTCTCCCAAAGGCACTTGGGCCTGGGCCTTGCTGTGCCTCTGGCCTCACAGGTTCCCTCTTTGAGCACTTTTCTTCCCTCCCCCAAATCCCTAAGTCACTGCCACCCATGATCCTTCCTGGGGTTCTGCCATACTGGCAACCCGTCTGTAACTGGCCATTCCCCAAAAGACAGGGCTATGTGGGGCCAGCTAGGAGGTGTCTACAGGGAGAGGTGACATTCAGCTACAGGAGAGATGCTAGGAGCTGGCAGGCAGAGGGGCATTCAGAGGAGGGATATGGGGCAGTGTCTCCATAAAAGGCGCTGCCGTAGGCACCATGTGAGGCCTGCCACAGGCATGGAGCTGCTTGGTGCTGTCCTCACTCTTTGATCTGGAAAGGGTGATTACCCTGGAGCAGCTGTCCACAGGCCCCTGGGTCTGCAGACAGAGGTCTGTCCCATATAATGACCACTGGAAATACACCGACACGTGCAGTCTCCCCTCCAAGCTATTCCTGGCGTTTGCAGAATCTCCTCTTGAACACAAGTGTCAGGTGTGTACACTCACAGAGGGCCTTGTGCTGTGAATAGATCCATCTGCAGCACAAAGGGAATGTGGAATTTGGCGAAGGGTCCACCCAGCCAAGGGGCAGTCGTTCAGCTGCCTGGGGCTTACTCTGGTCACTGGCCTTTGGGTTATCCTGTGGGCCCACCCACCAGCCTTGCTTACCTCACACCTCTGGTCCCAGGGCCCAAGCCCCAAGCCACTGTGCTGTCTGAGCTGCAGCTGCATCAGCCGTTTCTCAGAAATCCTGGAAATGCTGGTGGCACCATAGTGCTCTCCTTCTGGCTGGTCCTGGAACTGCCTGGTGCCGCCAGGATCAACTTGCTGTCCAGGGAGGGACCACAGGAAACCCAAACCAGCCTCAGGAC